GGGCGACCTCGCTCCCAGTCCCCCGCTCAGGTCCTGATCAGTCCTGCACGGTCACCTCACCCTCCACTGGCTGGGCATGTGCCAGCCTCCGATCGGGGACAGAGGCCACCGGGTGGGTCCTTTCCGCAGGACAGAGGGGTCCCAGGCAGGGGCTCGGGTCGGGCAAGCCTGTGCTCAAGTCCCCCAGCCCGTTTACTAACTACAGGACGCAGCGCACAGCGCCTGAGCGCTCAGGTGAGGAAGACTCTCGAAGCAACACCATATCCAGCCTCTGCTCTGGGTTTTCACCCGCAGCCCTGCACCTGCCTGACTCATTCCTCAGAGCCACCGAGACGCCAGGACACTAGTCTCATCGGCCCTTAGTCTCCTTTAAAAGATGAAAACTCCACAGGGAACACCCAGCGCGGCCCACTCCCTCCCAGGACAGCGTCCCCTCCACCGGCACCTGCCCCATCTCCCGACACCTGACTCCCCGGCCAGGGCTCCTCACCACATGTAGTGGCCCGGAGGACTCTACACACGTGCGTGTGCACACACACACACACACACGAGAAGGCCCCGGCGCAGCCTGTTGTCCAGTCTATGTGACTGTTGACAGCAGGGCCACCCGGACCCCGGGAGCTCGGGGGGGAAAACACTCCAAGACACATAGGGACCAAGAGCCACCAAACCCTTACTTTGCAAAGTCAGGAAATGAAAAGTGAACGGCACCACCGCCTCTCACCACCACCATCCACAGAAGGGACACTGAACCCCACGGCAGCCAGGAGAGCAAACTTCCCTCCACGTGACAGCAGCGCCCAAGTCACCCAAAGGGGCCAGGACGGAGAGGAGAGAAGGGAACCACAGGACCCTCTCCGTTCGGACAGACAGCCTCAAACGCCAGATGACCCGTAAGCAGGACACGGAAGCGATGCCAGCCGCCAGCATGACGCCGCCCCACCTCGGTGCAGGTCACGCGTGCCCAGAAACACAAGTGAGGGAAAGGGGGGAACCAAGCATGGCCCGAGTCACAGGAAACCCACAAGGACGCAGCTCAGACTCGGGGACCAAGGCCCAGCGGGGAGGCAGCCCCCAAACACGGCGATTCTCAGCCAGAGGTCAGGGCCGGCGGGCTCCCCGGGGCACCGGGCGGCGAAGGGCAAGAGAAGAAAGGAGAAACTCGGGGCCTGAGAAACCACGGCAGTACCACAGCCACCAGCCCTGGGCCTGCCCACGGAGCGCACTCCCCCGGGCCGGCAAGAGGGGGCGCCGGGGTGAAAGCCGTGCGAGTCGCCCAGTTCCGCGGACAGATGAAAACCGACCA